GGAGCCGAGCGTCCCTCGAGTCTGCCACTCTCTCCATGTAAACACGCTTTTATCTTAAAACACCACTTACAGCCCGCTGAAGACTGTTGACTCCGAGAGGAAAGTCAGGAAGTCAACAGCGAGAGGACCCCTTAACCCAGGCTCCACCAGCTCGGCTGGCTCTGGGCCTGGGCACAGGGAGGGTGCCCGGGTCTGAGCTGGACGGGAGGGGAGCGAAGCAGGAGTCGTGGGGCTCACTCGTGGCCTGGAGTGGCCTGCACTCGGGGGGCCCTGAGGCCGAAGCTGGGACCCGGAAGCTCGCAGGCGAGGGAGCCTGCTCAAGAGCCCGCACTGGACGAGCTTCTCCCGCGTCCCTGAGAGTCCCTGGCCCTTCATTTGCTCAAGCGATCGCTTATTCCGCTGGGGCTTGCGGGAGCCAGCCGCCCGCTGAGTGTCGGCTGCAGGGCTTGGGCTGCTCTGGCCCCTGCAGCTGAGCCTCCTGGGAGGGACAGACGAGTCAGGCAGACCCCGAGAAAATCCAAGATGGTGCTGAGTTCTCTGAAGATGAAAGGAACGAGGGGTGAGGGGTCAAGGAGAGGCTCTGCTGAGGCTGGGAGCCGGTGGGGGCCTGCGGGGAGCGGGCGGGGGCAGGCCGGGGGACACGGCGGTGCTAAGGCCGCAGGTGGCTCTGGGAGGGCCGAGGGCGAGGAGCTGGGCCGGCTGGCACGTGACCTCCGGGCTTGGTGCGGGCTTGGCCCATGTGGTGCAGACAGGTCTCTCGGCGGCCCCTCCCGACGCCCATCCTCCTCTGTCTAAACTCGCATTCCTCACCCCGGGTTAGTTCGCCATTTCCTTCCATGCTAAACCAAAGGGCTATTTTGGAAAGTGCTGTAAGCAAACTAAGGCCTGGCTGGCGTTTGAGCGGATATGAAAGAGCCCTAAGTGAGGGGCTCGGGCATAAAAGCCACCCAGCCCTTAAGGCCCGACTGTTAAATTTAGAACCCTCACCTCCAAATGAGGTGAAATTGCAGGTTCCCGCTGGCCAGAGCCGGTGGCTGTCCCCAGCAGGAGCAGGACAGATTTAGCGGGCGTGGGTCCCAGCTCCCTGCAGCCTCTCCTTGGGAAGAGACCCGGACGTCCCCGGTCTCGGGAGCAGCTGGCTTTGTGAGCAGCGCCCTCCGACCGCCAGCCGCCCCCTCCCGCACGGCCAGCTGGTCCAAGCGGCATCGGTCTGAGCGAGGGCTGCCCGGTGCCAGGCCAGAGAGGCAGCGAGGGATACGCGACGCGGGAAGGGATGGTCCTGTCTGCACCAAGGTTTGGGACCTGCACGACTTCTGTGCCTCTCTCCTCTGTCCAGGGACCCCGAAGGTGTCCGTCTGTCTCTCATGTCCAGAGACATGAGAGTCCCAAGTGTCCCTAGGGACATCCCAGACCCGGCTGCAGTCTAGCAGCT